ACCTCGAAATACACTCGGGAATACTGTTAGGCAAATTAATGCACTGCTACACACATTAATGCCCAGTTTACATCTGAGCATAGAGTTTTTTTTTTTTATTTTTATTTTAACACATTTTGCAGCATTTATGCTACACATGACAAATGCCCCAAAAGATGCTCAAACAATTTGGAGCAGAGCTTTTTTCAGACCGTGTTTGCCACATGAGAAAGCATGCGGCAAAACTCACATCTGCTACCAGCACTTGGGGTGCCATTAACATAATACAGCAAAAGCGTGACGTTTGCAGTGCATTTCTTAGACACGCAGCAAAATGTGTGTTTTCCAGAAATGCCCAGGTGTGAATGCAGCCTAAGGCTTCAATCATATCAAGTGTACTGGGACTGCACCAGGAAGTCTTGCCCAGCACATTCCAGGGCAAGAAAAGGTATCCTAAGGTGTCAGTTCAAATCACTGCGTGAAAAAAAAAAAAAAAAAAAAAAAAAAAAGACACTTTTTAGCAGGGTTAGTTTAAAAAGAAATTGTATTACTGCACCTAAAATGTGCACATTTTATTATGCAATTTGTCTTTCAATACCGGGCACTTTTACTCCCTTCCTGCCCCGGCCAATTTTCAGCTTTCAGCACTAGCACACTTTGAATGACAATTACATGGTCATGTAATACTGTACCCAAATAAAAGTTTTACCATATCACACAAATAGATTTTTGGGTTAATTTCTTTGGTAAAATAATCCAAATCAGTGTAAATTATTTACTCTGTAGGAAAATTAGAGTCCAGAGACTATGGTATTAATGCACCTGAAAATTGATCAATCCTGATGTACTGAAGGCATTATTTCTTGAAGCTCAAAAATGCCAGAACAGTACAAGTACACCCCAAATGACCCCTTTTTGAAAGGTAGACAGTGAGGTATTTAGTAAGAGGCATGTCTGTCACCAGTGCAGTACAGTGTTATAATATAACAGGTGTGGCAGTGATCAGGGACACTGACTGGTGACAGTATGTTTTGCCTGATTTAATTTTTTTTTTTTTTAAATATATACTGTGACCAGAACAATACAGCATTACCATAGTAACACTGCTACTCTGGGGAGGTAATGAGGATTAAAACAGAGATACTCACTGTTCTAAACGATCATCTTATTCTGACCTACTCATTTTGTAGTATTGCGATCAACTGATTGGCCACAACTAATCACTTGGTACAAATGGGATGTGATTGGCCCTGTCTGTACCATGTGATTGCTGTGATAAATCACAGAGATCAACACAATAGTACACAATGAATGAACGTCATCCATTGTGTACAATTGTCATGTGATTTGCTGTGATTGATCATAGCAAGACACATGGTACCGGCAGCAGTCTGGACACAAAGGGTGACGGATCATGCCGCAGTGCAGCCTGTGGGGCCCACGCGAGGCACATTCTGGGAGGAAGTCAGGTGACGTCTACCCAGATCTAGAGCAGTCCTGCCAGACTGTCATTTGACTATAGGCTAGGCGTGACCTGGTTAAAATGACACAAATTATGGTTCCTGTACAGATCATTGCAAAGTTACTTACAACTGAAATAAAGTTAAAATTGGACACACAAAACATCAGCAGGAAAATAGCAGGAGAGAATGAGACTTAATTAGCCTCGACCAACAGCTGTAACCACCCGCACACAACACGGGACCCACGAGCAGGTGCCATTCACCTCCTGCACTAGAAATCACATCCACAAATGGGAAACACACTGTAGTGCAGTTCCTAGAGCAGGCTGCGATTTCTGGAAAGTTGTAGGGACCTTTTTCCTGTGTTGTGCAAGGCACTGCAGCCCATTCAAATTAATGTGCTGCCATGCCACAACCTGCAAAACCGCACTAGTGTGAACCGAGAATTAAGGCTGATTAGAGCAACTAAGGTTTAAAACAGGAACATTTTTTTTTTTTAAACTTGTCAGGTTACTTACTGACATCTACAGATCTAAGTTCATCCCTTTGATCTGCAGATGAACAGAATGATACAAATGTAACAATATGTAACTTTGCCTTTTTTGACAGCTTATTTTAGAGCTGCCAGCTTCTTTGAGCATACTGTATTGCCAGCTATGATTAATCACAGTCTACAATGACAGTTAATAAAAGCCATATTTCAGGTGTACGCCTTCCCATCTTGGATTATATTGTGTGTTGTAGATCAGCACCCCAGGCTACAGCACGGACCTTCAAACCCACCTTATGCCTGGCTTCAAAGGTGAAGAGCAGTTTTGGGACTGCTGGGCATCATTTGCCTTTATGGCAATAGCATAATCCCATTCTCAAATGTAAACTTTTACAGTAGAAGTAAGGTCTGGACTTTAAATATACTTAAAGGATTTTTTTGGGGGGTGAAACATTTAGTTTTGCTGTTTTAAGACCGTGAAATCCACTTGGAAAGAATAAGAACTAATAATAACAAAAGACAGGTAAAAAAAGAAGAAGCTTGTTTTCTTATATTAGTGCAATGAAAAAAAAACGTTCCTATTGGTTTTGTTCCCTACTTCCCCCTTACTATCCTCATAGGTCCGTGCATACCTTTACTGCCTGCAACGTGAAGGGGGTTCCCACTTTTGGCAGTAGGGATCATCAGAACAACACCTCTGCAGTATACAATCTAATCAGATTAATAAAACAGAAAAACACTGAATCAATGAATGAAAATGCCATCTTAACTTACCTGTAAATTAAAAGCAATCCGGGTATATGCTAGAATATGGAGGAAAGTTTTTTTTGATTCAGGTTTTATCTTTGCAGCAGAATTATATCACAACACCAAGAAAATGTCAGTGTCCAGGTCTCCCAAGAACAACTTGTTTGGTCCCTTTTGTAAGAAGTCTGTGCTTTTTACAGAGAAAATATTAGAGGAAGTGCAGTCCCAGCTTTGAAGCATGTGACATTGATCAATCATACCAGACAAATCCCCACTTCATTCCTTCATAGAGTGTCAGCTGACAGTAAACTGGTCACTCCTACTACTGGTGTATGCTGGGCGCATAGAAATTCATGCAGCTGTAAATACACTTAACAAGACAACTCACACCTTTATGAGATGTGATTTAGCGCAACATAATACTTTCTAAAGAGATTGAACTGAGGACACCTGTATGAAAAGGACCTCGTCATCACAGTCGTTAAATGCGAAGAAAAAAAAAAAAAACCTGACGCACATGAATTCAGGTTACATCAATTTACATATCTGTCTTCAGTTCATATCTGTTTTTATCTTATCTGTTGCATAAACCATTTTAAGGAAGAAAAAATTAAACAAACAAAAAAGGTTTCTTGGCTGCCAAAAAAAAAATAATAATAATAATCAGAATGATGTAAACAGATGACATCCGCTTACATCTGTTCAGATCTGAGTGGAAAAACACACAGCCTTGTAACAAAAAAAAAAAAAAAATTATAATAATAATATATGGATCTGACAGACAAGGATGTAGGTGGATGTAAACCAATGATCATCTGTTTAGATCAGCAAGCCCATAGGAATAAATTGCTGACCGTTTTTCATCTGAAAATGGACAGATAAAAAGACAGTGGGAGCGCCCCTGTGAAAATATTTCTCACAATCACCCTCTATGGCCCCATCAGCTAGCTATAATATTGACAATCAACTTGGAAAAACACTGCAGAGATCAGGCTGTGTAAGGTAACACACACACATTTATATTATGGCCATCTCTTAAAGCAGAACTGAAGTTCCGCTGTAATAAACAGAGAGCAGGCACATTTTTATTGCAGAAGAGACAGAAGAGTCATCTCACTTTCTTCTCCTGTGCTCAGGGGCAGACTGACCATTTGGAAACTCAGGCACTGCCCAAGGGCCAGGGGTCAGTAGGGGGCCCCATGAGATGCCCCTGGTACCTTTTCATAGGCTTTTTTGAGCTTGGGCAAGGACACAGGGGCCCCATGATCCCCTATTGCCCGGGGCCCCATGAGTTGTCAGTCCACACCTGCTTGTGCTGTAAACTGAGCTGTGAATGTACATATCCATTTACAGGACTGAGCTAGTCTGAGTGCTGGGATGACCAGCCCCTGCTCATGCTCAGGAGTGACATCATCCCCCATTGGCCAATGAAGAGGTCCGAAGACCAGCACTCAGAAAATGATGCTGCCACTGGCAGGGGACTATTGGACTGGTAAGTATTAACCCTTTAGTACCACTTTAAGTGGATTTTACCAAGGGCAGCCAAACAGCAGCCCCCTGCCTCCTCCTGCAGGACCTTTTTTTGCTTTTTTTTGTCTAAAAGCAATTTTGAATGTAAGTAACATGATAACACTGAGGTTGTGGTGCAGCTACACTGGCTTCAGGGCCAGTTCAGACTAGGAATCACATAGGAATGCACTGCACACATGAGGTTCGGTGCTGTACCATTTGAGCACAATTATTTTGACTGGGTGAAATTGCAATGTTCCGCACTAACAGTTGAGCATACACACACAAAAATAAATAAATAAAACAAACTGCAGTGTATTTTGGATGCGGTATGAGAAACCTGCACAGGTCATGGGTTACCCATTCATAATTCTGGTGGAAACATGGCCAGAATGGGCAAGTTTGTTAGGCAGTGCAGCTTTTCAACTTCACAAGCCATGTTAAACTTGCCACAACTCAAAGTATGTCAACTAAAGGCACCATGTGTGCAGCCCTCTCCAGCTGCATGTTAGGTGGGCAGTCAGGGGACAGTACAATTGTGGCTCAATCACTTGTTTTTACTGCACCCTAGCTACCAGTGAGGAGGCCTTACAGTATGCCATACTGCAGAGGAAGCCCACTCTATTTGCTGCCCCTCACCTCTTCTGTTCCCCCTCCCCTCTTCCTAGAAAGGCCTATAGTTTTTGATGCGCCCCTCCACCCCCCTTCCCAGAGGAGGCACACACACTTTTTTGCTGTCCTCCTTCCCAAAGCAGGCCTGCACAATTGCTGCCCCCCACTTCCCAGAGGTCAAACCCTTTGGTGCTCCCCTCCTCAGCTACCAAACATAATATTGCCAAAAGTATTGGGACACCCCCTCCAAATCATTGGATTCAGGTGTTCCAATCACCTCCGTGGCCACAGGTGCAGGAATGCGGAAATCTTTTGAAAAAATACTTTAGTCCAGGGACTAAATTGGGGTCCCAATCTATTTGTCCCTCATGACAATCTACTTGTCCTGATAAAAAAAATAAATAAAGCAGATTTGAATATGGTTTTGGTTAAAATTTAAGACATTTCTTAAACCAAAAAAGGGGATTTGGGGCGACTTAAAACGTTTAATATTTTTAACATTGTGCCGTTTATCTTCTCCTCCCCTCCCTGTCTAAAGCACAGCACCCTGGGACTAGCAGTGTAATGAGCACCAATTGGCTGCTCCTCAGGAAAGGGGAGTGTCAGGCTTATCCTTTATCCCTTTCGCTGCCAGAGCCGTTTTTTTGTGGGTTTTTTTTTTTGCACATGTTTAAAATATCATTTAAGGCTTGAAGATTACACAAAACTCTTAATGGATTATATATTTTCTGAAAGCAGAGACCCTAGAAAACAAAATAGTAGTAGTTCCAATTTTTTGTTACACTATATTATCATCACAGACCTTAGATTGTGTGCCCCTTGAGAGTTAGGGACTGATGTGAATGAATATATATATATATATATATATATATAATTATTATCTATCTATTATATATATCTATCTATCTATATCTATTATCTATATATATATATATATATATATATATATATATATCCACACATACATACACACATTTCAGTAAAAAATACTCTTTGCATTTTAGGGCACAAAAGGCAATACATTATCCAATCTTTTTGTAAAATATAAAAGATGAGGTTGCATCGAGTAAATAGATATCCAACATGTCAAACCTTACATTTGCATGCGATCGTGAAACGGCAACAAACTTTAGTACTGCAACTCCCTCCTCACTGGCCTGCCTCGCCGCTGGCTATCCCCGCTTCAGTCGATCCTGAATACGGCTGCCAGACTCATTCACCTTTCCAACCGCTCTGTATCCGCCACCCCCCTCTGCCAATCCCTCCACTGGCTTCCGATTGCGCAACGGATCAAATTCAAAATCCTAACGCTGACGTACAAAGCTGTCCACCATACTGCCCCGAACTACATCACTGACCTAATATCCAAGTACCGCCCCCAGCACGCACACTCTGCTCCTCACAAGGCCTCCTTCTCTCTAGTTCCCTGGTCTCCTCCTCCCATGCCCGCCTCCAGGACTTCTCCAGGGTGTCACCCATCCTCTGGAACTCCCTGCCCCAACCCATCAGATTATCACCTACTCTCCTCTCCTTTAGGCGCACCCTGAAAACCCATCTCTTCAGGGAAGCCTACCTCACCCCCTGCTAACTTGCCGACCTCCTCCACTCTTTCTACCACTCCATCCCCCACAGCTATCTCCTCCTGTGCCACCATCCCCTCCCTCCTAGATTGTAAGCTCGAAAGAGCAGGGCCCTTGATCCCCTCATGTTTTGCATTGTATTGGTATTGTTCTGTCACATGTTCTGTCCCCCTTTGTAATGTACGGCGCTGAGCGAACTATTGGCGCTTTATAAATACTGTATAAGAATAATAATAATAGTACCCTATATTTCCTATAGGTGATGCTTTTAAAGCCTCTTATAGGTCATCAGTATAATGTTCTGGTGCTAGAATTATTGCTCTCATTCTGGAGTACACGACGATATGCAACATGTGTATCACAATCGTTGTTTTCATGTGTAGGCGCCCAAGCTCGTGCTTTTACATTTGTACGTGCGTACATATGTAGAGGGCCATGAAAAATTTGGGGGGGTTATAGGCTTGGGTGTAATTTACATTTTTAAATAATTTTTTTAATTTAAATGAGGACAAAAAGTCCCCTATGATGATTTTTTGGTGACAGGTTCTCAAACATCCAGGGTCTGAAAGACCCTGCATGTCTCCCCTGTGCTCCCCTGAATGTAATGCAGTGCACATTACATTTGCCAGAAATCTGTCAACGGATACCGGGCAGTGACGTCACATCACATCTGGGTCAGGACAAGAAGGGTAGGGGAGCGGATTTGTCCGCTCTCTTCTCTCCTCTATACTGGCATACTGCTGGCACAAACTGAACCAGTCCCGGGCCCTCAGATGGGCAAGTGGAACCCGGGACATATTCAGGCAGGGAGGTGGCGGCTGGCACTGTGGGCTGTGTGGAAGCAATGAGGCAGCAGTGCTGCCGCCCGAATGCTTCCACCCGACAGATAAGCCCTGCTGCTTGCCCTCAGCAGGGCTAAAGGCACAAAAAAAATAAATAAATAAAACCACCTACCTGCCCAGAACTAAATGCCCCAGGCATCAGGCGATATTAATTGAACATCCCTAAGGTGTATGAAATCAATGAAGCATGCAGACCGTTCCTATAAACATTTGTGAAAGAATGGGTTGCCCTCAGGAGCTCAGTGAACTCAAGCGTCGTACCGTGATGGGTTGCCACCTGTGCAATAAGTCCATCCATGAAATTTCTTTGCTACTAAATATTCCACAGTCAACTGTTAGTGGTATTATAACAAAGTGGAAGCAACAGCAACTCAATCACGAAGTGGCAGACCACATAAAATGACAGAGCAGGGTCAGCGCATGCTGAAGCACACAGTGCGCAGAAGTCGCCAACTGTCTGCAGAGTCAATAGCTAAATACCTCCAAACTTCGTGTGGCCTTAAGATTAGCACAACAGTGCGTAGAGAGCTTCATAGAATGGGTTTCCATGGCCGAGCAGCTCCATCCAAGCCTTACATCAAGTGCAATGCACAGTGTCAGATGCAGTGGTGTAAAGCATGCCGCCACTGGACTCTAGACCAGTGGAGTGATGAATCACGCTTCCCTGTCTAGCAATCCAATTGACATGTCTGGGTTTGGCGGTTGCCAGGAGAACAGTACTTGCCTGACTGCATTGTGCCAAGTTTGGTGGAGGGGGATTATGGTGTGGGGATGTTTTTTCAGGGGTTGGCCCCTTAGTTCCAGTAAAGGGAACTCTTAAGGTGTCAGTATACCAAGACATTTTGGACAATTTCATGCTCCCAACTTTGTGGGAACAGTTTAGGGATGGCTTCTTCCTGTTCCAACATGACTGCACACCAGTGCACAAAGCAAGGTCCATAAAGACAGGAGTTTGGGATGGAGGAACTTGCCTGGCCTGCACCTCAACCAGATAGAACACCTTTGGGATGAATTAGAGTGGAGACTGCTTGCCAGGCCTTCTCATCTGACAATGCCCGACCTCACAAATGCACTTCTGGAAGGATGGTCAAACATTCCCATAGACACTTGTAGACAGCCTTCCCAGAAGAGTTGAAGCTGTTCTAGCTGCAAAAGGTGCCCAAACTCAAATTTTGAACCCTACGGACTAAGACTGGGATGGCATTAAAGTTCATGTGTGTAAAGGCAGGTGTCCCAATACTTTTGGAGAGGTCTCTCTCTCTCAAAAGGCATCTTCTATCTAAAACAAAATTAGGATGCATTTTAGAAGATGAAGACACTGTATTACTCACCCTACCGCCGCCGCTACAGCAGGCTCCAGTACTCTGGTGCTCCAGGCTATGAGAGGTCCCTGAGTGCCATCACATACAATGCAGGACTACAAACTCTGTATTGTATGCAGAGAAGGTATGCATGCAACTTTGGCCAGAGCATCTTAGAATTGAAGCTTTGCAGGACCAGCCACCCACCTGAAAGTCCCTCCTGCAGAGGGGAGTAATATGGTATTACTCCTTATTCCTCTAAACAAAAACAAGTATTTAACCCTTGCAGTTTGGGCTGCCCCTCACAAAGGCTGGCCTTTTCTTGTCCCAGAGTTGGATGGAAGTGGATTTCCAGTCAAATGATAACTAGGGCTAAATCATTTTGGGGGTCCTTTAAATTCCCCACAAGCTTAAAAATTGCAGCATGCTCTACAATTCAGAACAACAGTTCATGGCCAGAATGTCAGAATATCAGCTGTCATGATAACATACAATCCTAGAATTGCATTATTATAATACGGCAGGACTGTAACATCGTGTTTCACCACATGCTTTGGTGCAAAACCAGCGTCTAAACTTTCCAAAGTAACCACAAAATTACTTGATCCAAAAGAATAACAGATTAATATGCAATTCAGTATAAATAGCCATTAGGTGTACTAAAATATTACTACATTTAAATTTGCTGATTTTGAATTACAGAGCCCTTGACACAATCTTGAAGGAAAACTGTGTCAATAGGCTGGCATTTTGTTGAACAACTCTGCTGAAAATGGTAGTGGTCTGAAAATTGGGATTTCTAAAGGTTTTAGAACCTCTTGATTCCCTGACCTGGAACAATGCAAAGTAGTTTGACTTTACTTTTAGTATGCTTGTTTGTACACAGCATTTTAAGAACCTCATATACACTGTCGGGTTTGCACCAAACTACTGTTACTGTGGTCAACTATCTTTATTTCCTCAGGCCACAGACCAGAAGGACTGGTCTTCATCTATAGTGTATATTCAATGAAAAGTATGGCTCCAAGGTCCTCTATAGGCAGTAAAGCTTTTACCTGGAACACCTCCTAGGTTAAATTGCTTCAAATTCTGTTTGCAGATTTATGCATTTTAACACCAACTGCTGCAAAGTTACCATGGTGGCAGATGTGTGGGCTCGCTCCCAAGCCAGGCTGTGTGCATTCATATCTACAAACAGCGAAGCACGGCCCCACCTTGCCAAAGGCTCCCGCTGCTTACTTTGTGTCCTGTGAAAAGAGAAACAGTGCAGTGCTACTGCAGACGGGCACAGCACTGGATCAAGATAAAACTCAGGTAAGTACTATGGCGGGTGGTAGGGGCGCAAACAAATGGGACATTTTTTACCTTAAGGCAAGAAATACATAGAGGTAAAAAATATCTTGCCTATAGAACCATTTTAACTCCTCAAATTAGCTCTGGAGCACAGTGGGCTGAATGCTGAGGGATAGCAGCTCTGGCAGGCTTTAGTACAAGCCGAAGTCCAGCACTAAGCCTAGGAACTGAATCAATCAGCTCCTGAGCTTCTGCTCCAGTTATCTATCACACCATAGAATCATGACAGTATCCTTCCACTGTCATGCCCTGACCTGGCCACTACTGCGTATAACAACCTGCTATCAGCTGCCTTAGACTCGTTGGCACCCCCAACCACACGCAGCACCAGACACCGACCACTCCAACCCTGGCAGAATGACCACACAAAAAATCTTAAAAACAGCACTGGAGCGCCTATGGTGCAAAACTAGATCCCCCCAAGCTTTCTCCCTCTACAAATCCGCCTTTCTCACCTACACCTCCTCCCTCCACGCAGCCAAACAAGACTACTTCGTAATCCTCATTAACACCCTCTCCTCCAATCCCCGCCGGCTCTTCTCCACCTTCAACTCCCTACTCTCCCCCCCCCCCCCCCACCCAGTACCTCACTCACCACCCACGAGATTGCCGAACACTTCCAGAATAAAATCAATGCAATCCGTAAGGACATCACCAATGCTCAACCCACCTCCCCACCTGGCCTTCCCCCCACCATAGCCCCATCAACTCTCCCCTCCTCTGACCTCGCTACCGCCCTCCCACCCACCCACACCCGAACATCCCGCACAGCTTCACCTCCCCTACACTCCACTCCTTCAGACCTGCTACCTTTGAGGAGGTCTTCTCAAAAGCCCGTCTCACCACTTGCCCCCTTGACCCTGTCCCCTCGCAACTCCTCCGGTCACCCTCCTCCTCCATCCTGTGCTCCCTCACCCACATCTTCAATCTCTCCCTCTCTACTGGCACATTCCCCTCCCCCCTAAAGCTCGCCCACATCACCCCCATACTCAAAAAACCCTCCATGGACCCTACTGATCTGAACAACCTCAGACCCATCTCACTGCTGCCATTCACTTCCAAGCTTCTTGAGCACTTTGTTTACAATCGCCTAAGTGCCCACCTCACCGACAACAACCTCCCCGATGCCCTACAATCCGGCTTCCGCCCCCAACATTCCGCCGAAACCGACCTACTCAAAATCACTAACGACCTGCTATCCGCCAAAGCTAATGGACACTACTCTGTCCTCTTACTCCTCGACCTCTCCGCGGCCTTCGACACAGTTGACCACCCCCTCCTCCTTAAAATTACACTCCCTTGGCATCAGAGACTCCGCTCTCTCCTGGCTCTCCTATCTATCCCAACGCTCCTTCAGCATTACCTATAATGCTGCCACCTCCCCTCTCTGTTGGGGTCCCCCAAGGCTCTGTCCTCAGGCCCCTTCTCTTCTCCATCTACACCTCCTCCCTCTGCAAACTGACACACTCCCATGCACTCCCATGGCTTCAACTATCACCTCTACGCCAATGACACACAAATTTACCTCTCCACCCCTCACGCCTTCATTTTCCGCCCGTATCACCCACCTACTGAACGACATATCGGACTGGATGTCGCTCCACTTCCTCAAACTGAACCTTTCCAAAACCGAGCTGCTAATTTTGCCCCCTGCCCGCACCACCCCTCCCCCACCCTCTCCATCATGGCCAACAACGCTACCATCAGTCCCACCACGCAAGCCAAGGTCCTAGGTCTCATCTTAGACTCTAACCTGTCCTTCCAACCCCATACCCAATCGCTGACTACCGCATGCAGGTTCCACCTCCGCAACATCTCCAAAATACGCTCGTTCTTAACCCCAGACACTACTAAACAACTCGTTCACTCCCTTATCTCACGCCTGGACTACTGCAACTCCCTTCTCACCGGCCTACCCCAAAAACAAGCTATCCCCGCTCCAGTCTATCCTGAACTCAGCAGCCAGACTCATCCACCTTACCAACCGAATCCACTTCTGCCACCCCCTCTGTTATTCCCTCTACTGGATCCCGATTGCCCAACGCATCAAATTCAAACTACTAACACTGACATTCAATACGCTGCCCCAAACTACCTCACCAACCTGATACCCAAATACCACCCTACCCGTAATCTTCACTCCTCAAAAGACCTCTCCTACTCTCTAGCTCCCTGGTCTCCAACCTCCCACGTCCGACTGCAGGACTTCTCCAGAGCTTCCCCCATCCTCTGGAACTCACTTCTTCAATCCATCAGATTGTCCCCTACCCTCCTCACCTTTAGGCGCAACCTGAACACCCATCTCTTCAGGGAAGCCTACCCCACCCTCACCTAACAGCCGATCCCCTCCACTCCTTACTCCATTCCATCCCCCACAGCCATCTTCTCCTGTATCACCATCCCCTCCCTCCTAGACTGTAAGCTCGAAAGGGCAGGGCCCTCTAACCCTCGTGTATTGTTTTGCTACTGTATTGTCTCATGTCTTGTCCCCCATTCTAATGTACAGCGCTGAGCAAACCCTTTGGTGCTATATAAATACTCTATAATAATGTACCCAAAGAGAACATTTGCAGATTGAGCCATTTGGCCCTGCTCTCCCCTCCCAGCAGGCACCCAACCTGTCAGCTAGGTGACACTTGGCTGTCTAGATCTTCCTGGTACCAGCTCCCTCCAGTTACCAGTCATTAGTTACACCTCATTTTCTGCCCGATCACCTAAATGTCACTCTGCCTGTCCGAGCAGAGGGCCCTTATCTCCACACATCAGAGAATATCCACAGGGCTGAGCATGCTGCTATATCACTACATCAGATACAAGAGAGCACACCTAGATATTTCAGCTGTCAGGAATAATCCTGATTCCCAGGAACAGTGTCCATTCTTGGAGAGCTGTCTCCCAGAAATGTTACCCATTCACCTTCCTATCGGCTCATACCTAAAGTTTTCTGAATATAAATTGATGTACTGCTACAGATTGCCTTTA